AAGAAGGGAGAAATCACCGCCGGGGGGGGGGGGGGGGAAATGGCCACTCAGCAATCCTTCTCCATTCTCCTGCCAGGATCTTTTTTTTCTCCTTTTTTTTTGGAGAGTATTTTTTTGCTATCCTCTCCCAAAAACTTTTCATTTTTTTTTTTTTTGGAGAGATTTTCACTGTAGGGCGTGTCCGCTCGCCAGACAGACAGAGAGAGACATAGAGACAGAAAGCGAGAAATCACCCCCCAGGGGGGATGGTCACGCCGCAATCCCTTCTCCTCCATTCTCCTCTCGGGATCTTGGGCACGCACGCACACGCGCCCGGCGTGAGTTTTAAGCCACCGGGTCCGGGACACGAACCGCGGTCGAGTACGTGGGAGTCCAGCGACATAGCCATTACGCTAACTGCTGGTTCCCTCCCAAAAACTTTTAATGGCCAAATATTTAAGTGGTTGGAGCCTAAGAAAAAACCCAAGTTTCAAGAACTGCTGAGGTCACAAGCTGTCACGGTCGCCAACGGTCCCTGACACACTCCCACTGTAAGAACCCTCTTTCTGTCCAGGGCCTGGCCCTGGCAAAGATGGCAGGAGGAACGTGGGCACTGCCAAAACCTGTTCTGCAGAGGGCCCAGCTCCTGGCTCCTGAAGCTGTGGATGTTTACAAGCTGGTTAAGAGAAAAGCCAGGAGGCACTGCCCAGTCACCCCAGACCCTCGCAGCTGGGAAGCCCATCAGCTACCTCCTGCTAGCTCAGGAAGAGGGGGCTGATACAGGGGTCTTCCTCCAGGGGCCCCTTGAGAGGTGGCGCCTGAAGGATAGACAAGAGGCACTGCCAGCCCCAGTTTAGGAAGGCGGAGCTTCCACAGATTCGGAAATCTGAAATCCGAGTTAGGGCTTGGGTTCCGGGAAGCGAGCCCTGCCTGCAGCGCTCGGCCTGGGTTTAGGGAAACTGAGAATGTTTACCTTCTGCATTTAGAAGGCAAACCCGAGCGTCTCGTGTGCGGGGTGGAGCTCTGCCAAAGTTGTGCAATCCGAACCCAGGCTCCACATGGAAATCAGGGGCACCCCGCTGTCCCGATCGGGAGACGCCGGTGCCCGCCCGCCGCCCACGTCCTAGCAGCCGGCCGCCCGCATCGCTGGGGAAACTGAGGTCAGCCCCGGAGTTTAGGGAAAGGCAAATGGGCGCTCGGCCGCCCCAGGCTGCAGAAGCTCCCGCCCGCCGCCCGCGATCAGGGCGGCCTCGCTCCCTCGCGGCCCCGCTTCAAAACCTCCGGCATCAGCTGATCCGAACGGCGGTCACGTGACAAGGGGCCCCGGGACTCACGTGACCGCATCTCAGCCCGCCCTCTGCGCCACGACGACCCCCTGCGGGAGCAGTGCGCATGCGTGCCCCGGCCGGCGACTCGCGGAGCCAAGGCGGCCGTGCGGTCCTAGCGCCGACCCACGCTTGCAGGGGGATGGGCTGGTGCCCAATGTGGCAACGACCGGCTCCGTCCTGGCTCCCTGCCATGCCCCATATCTGGTGCCAACTTTGTGACTTCCATGTTCACAACGTGACACCTCACCCTCCGCGGAGTCCTGTCTCAGGGCTGGCCTCTTCCTTCCTCTGGGAAAGCACTTCTGTCCCTCTCTTCTGGACAAACAGGAAACTCTATTCCTAGTTATGCACCACATGAGACCACACCGAAGGCCCCCAGCCCAGGGTCTCCCAACCTCGTCAGCCTGCACCACTGCAGCAACCTTGTCCCTGATCCCAACCACCCTCCACCCTTCTGGCAACTCCCACCTGTCTACCAGGTTCTAGCTCCGACCACCAACCTCCACCCAGTTTCACCTCTTACTGGCCCCAGGGCCTTTGCACACCCCATCTCCGGTGCGTTACCGCTAAGAACGTAGGCGGTGGAGGTCGGACAAGTCAGGTTTAAATCTAGGCATTGCCAAGTGCCCTATCTACAGCTTTCAGACTCCTTTAAATGCCGTGAGTCTGTTTTCTCATTTGTAAAGTGAAGAACATCAGTTTACCTGCCTCATGGAGTTGTCAAATTAAATATGAGCGTGCAAGAGCACCCCACAAGACTGGGCAAAGTGTAATGATTTAATTAGTAGTTACTAGGATCATAAAGTCCTTCGAAGCCAATCGGAAGTCTTGCCATGCTTCCTCTCGAATGTCCCATGTCCTGTAATTGACTTTGTTTCAAAGAATTATTTATTTAAGTTATTATTATTATTATTATTTTGAACTTACTTTAGTGATCAGAGAGAGACAAAGTGAGAAAGCAAGCCTCCAGGTCCAGGACTTGAACCTCAGTTGGCCATGTGGAAGTCCAGTGCCCTTAACCACCACGCCACCTGCTGGCCCCTGTCATTTACTTTTGAAATATTTCTGAATTTGATGTGAACACTGTCGGGGTCCTGACTGTAATGGCCTTACTTCCTGCT